GCTGGCCAGGCTAGTCCTGGCCCTGGTGAGCGCCTTGCCCCTTCTGCAGACTCTGCCCGGTGGTTCTGGCACCCCAGGGCTCTAGTGCAATAACCCTGAGTGGAGCAGAGACACTGCAGCTGGAGGCTGGCTCTGACAGCTGTGTCCAGGCCCCGAAGTGAGGGAGGCGGGCCTGGAAGGCCTGGTCTGTCCTGCCCTGGGGTAACCTGTCTCTTCCTGTCTTAACACTGGTGCCCGGGGTTAATCATTCTGCCATAGTGACCCCTGGCCAGTTGGCCCCTGGAAGCAGCCCTGAGCCCCAGGTGACCCCTTTGCCTAGCTCCACTTCTAGACCTCTCCTCTGGAAGGGGTCCCCTCCCCTCCTCCCAAGTTCCCCAGCTGTCCCCTGTACATCAGAGGTCCCAGGCTTCTGCAGACTGAGTGGCGGCTGAGCAGTGGCGGCTGCGCTGAGAGGGGAGGGCAGCTCTCCCGGCTGCCCCTGCTGGTTGTGTGTGTGGCTGGTGCTGTGGGTCACGGCCCAGACATTTATCTGGCCCAGCTTTCAGGCTGGGGGAAGTAGGGGGTGGGTCACTCTTAATGAGGTTTAAAAATAACTGATTTATGGGGAGGATCTCTGCCGGAAATGTGCAGCTCGAATAGCTGGAGTGGAAAGGAGCAGCCATGTTGGAGTGCGGGGAGGGAGCTCTGGGGCTCAGAGGTGTGGGGGTGTTTGAGGCAGAGCCCTGAGGCCCATTGAGGAGGTGGCAGGATTGTTTCACTGGGGTGCAGGAGCCCGAGCGACTCCATCCCTTAAAGCTGAGTGGCTTGGAGCCAGAGGTGGGGAGAAGAGGCAGCTCCCTGTCCTGTCCTTGAATGCAGGTACCTGTCCTGGGGATCCCCTTTTATAAGTGACAATACTAGACTGCCAGCTCCTTTGGAGCAGAGAGCAGAGCCCATGTAGGGAGAACGGGCAGGAAACAGGGGACCAGGAAACAGGGGACCCGTCTCTCCTCTGTGCCTGGCTCCCCTCGGCATCGTCACATTCCAGGGACCTGCTGGGCAGGCGCTTAGGGGTGGGAGGGGATGGGCTACCTGTGGTGGGTGCTGACAGCTCAGGCCCCTGGAAGCAGTGTTCAGGAAACCACCGAGTTCTTGCTAACCAAGGCCCTCGAATGAAATTCAAGACTCTTCTGTGTATTTCCCCATCCTTCCCTGTCTTTCCTGGTTTCCCTGAAAATACCACTGGAGGTTCCTGTAATTATTTTTACTGTAACAAATGACTACAAAACTAATGAGTGAGAGCCACACGAATACAGTATCTGACAGTTCTAGAAACCCCAACAGGGGAGACGCCTCCCAGCTAAAATCTAGCTGCTGGCCTGCCTGGGCAGTGCGCCTTCATTGTATGCAGTCTTTCCCTGTTTAGAGGGACTCACCTTGTCTGGCTTCATTGTATGCAGTCTTTCCCTGTTTAGAGGGACTCACCTTGTCTCCCTGATGGCACCAGGGCACGTCTTAGGATCAAGGGCTTTCCCCTCTCTCCCAAAATTCCTGGCACAAATAGCAGGTGCCCAATTAAAGCCCAGTGGTTGATTAAGGGTAGATCAAGCCAGTCCTCCAGCTCCTGGCATAGGTTTCCCAAGCACTTCCATGTTCCTCCTCCTCTTCCCAAATCATCCTCTCTCCTAGGGCTGTAAAGAGCAGGGTTGTGGGGCCAGCAGGTGGTGTCGTAGTTAAGGGCACTGGACTCCCACATGGCCAACCACGGTTCAAGTCCTGGATCTGGCTTGGTCTCTCACTTTCCCTCTCTCTCTGGTCCTCTTTGGTCAAATTAAAATAAATTAATAAACTTAAATAAATTGATTATTAAAAAAAAAAAAAAAAAGAGCAGGGTCGTGTGGGCCAGCCCATGGCATGGTGGTTACAGCAGTCAGATCCCACATGGCCAACTACACAGTTCGAGTCCTGGACCTGGCGGCTTGGAAACATGCCTGGACTGTGTGTGTACGTGTACAAAATCCCCAAACGAGGAAGAGATGGAGTAGAAGGGAGTGGGACTGTGGTGCGACCATTCCCATTGGGGGATGCTTTTCCACTTTCTCTCCCCCTCTTCCCTGCAAACACACAAACCCTCTGGCAAATTCTAAACAAGAGAGAGAGCAGGGTTGTGGTTACAATGACTAGACTGCCTTTGCCAAAGTTGACTACCCACATGAAGAGCTGAGTCCCCAGTCCTGGCCTCATTCACCCCATATTCTACTCCAGTGGCTTTTTTTTTTTTAACATCATTTTAGTAGTGGAACCATTTGTTCAAATAAATCTAATGAGTCGCTCGATATAATGTACGGATTCTTGTCGAAGGAGTTCGGGAGAACCCAGGATGGGCCCTGTGGTCCCGAGACACCTCATGTTCTGAGAGCTGCTATTCTAGCCCTTGTTCAGGGGTCAAAGCGAGTGTTCTCTCATTGGACAGCCGTTCTGGTCGTCACCCTTGGGACCCATGCTGGGGAATATAGCAAGTTTCCTGTAAGCAGGATTCACCACCCTAGGGGCAGCAGAGTATTGATCTAGGCCCGGTGTGTCCCCTCCCCAGCTGCCCACAGCCACCACTGCCCTTCAGAATGGCCAACAGGGGACCTGCGTATGGCCTGAGCCGGGAGGTACAGCAGAAGATCGAGAAGCAGTATGACGCTGACCTGGAGCAGATCCTGATCCAGTGGATCACCACTCAGTGCCGCAAGGATGTGGGCCGGCCCCAGCCCGGGCGTGAGAACTTCCAGAACTGGCTCAAGGACGGCACGGTGAGAGCCAAACCCTGTGGACCAGAAGTTCCGGGAGAGCAGGGCTGGAGCTGGGGACTGGCTGTCTGGAAGAAGGGAAGGCGGAGGGCACACATCCTCCTCCTCCGACCCAGCACCCTCCTCGGCATGAAAGGGCCGAGGTGACACCGAGGACAGAACCATGGGAGGGTGTACTGGAGCCCATGATGCTGGCATAGCAAGGAGAGACCGCATGCTGGCTTTTTGATATGGGTTTGGAAGCCAGGGCTGGGCAGGTAGGACTGCTCCCTGCCAGTGAAGGAGTCTGAGCTGTCCTCAGGCAGGAGAGGAGCCCCTCTGGTTGAGGAAGGTGGGAATGTCCTCACCTGCATGCCTGCTGTCCCCACCCAGGTGCTGTGTGAGCTCATTAATGGGCTGTACCCCGAGGGGCAGGCCCCGGTAAAGAAGATCCAGGCCTCCACCATGGCCTTCAAGCAGATGGAGCAGATCTCCCAGTTCTTGCAAGCAGCAGAGCGCTATGGCATCAACACCACTGACATCTTCCAAACTGTGGACCTCTGGGAAGGTGGGCCAGGGCCTGGGCTGGGGCTGTCCCCTAGGAGACCAGAGATTGGGCTAGGCCATCTTGACCAGGGAGAAGGGACCGGTTTCTGGCTCTCTGAGAATAAAAGATGGGAGGGGTGTGTGTGAGGAGGGGTGTTTTATGGGGGAGTTGGCCATGTTAGGGTCTGGGCTGGGAAAG